GTTGTGTGGCCCTCAGGCACGGTGCATGTCGTTTAGAGATAGTTCTCATATGCTATCTGCCAACATGTTTAGAGTTTATTACTTACCGATAAGTCTCTCTAAAATTTTAATAGTCTAAATTGATTATTACAAAGTTTAATAAAGTAAAGGCATGACTGCCAAATTAATTAAAAAAAAAAAAAAAAAATTGTTAAATTTTATAATTTTTTATATATTTTAAATATTATAAAAGATAAAATTTGATTGGTCAATAGCTCTATCACTAGGGAAGAGAGAGGTATGATCTATGTAAACCCTAATTACGTGATTTACTGCACTTCCCTTACTTTATTTCTCACTACTTCCAATTCTGATTACTGTTTAGTTATCCTTCCAAACAAGATCTCTAATACTACCTTAGAGGTTGTTGGTATGTCTTGCTAATTGTAAATTTACACACATAACTTTTGTATAATAGAACCTTCTATAATGAATACTGTTATATATAGTGCCAACTACTTTATAATTTCTTCTGAAAATTTCTAATTTAGACCTGCATTTACTTGAACTTCTCATGATGAGTATATTCAAATATAGTACAGTATTTGTAGATAAACACACCTACTAGGACTTGAACTCGAAACCTGCTTATAGAGGGTTAGGTACCTAGATCACTAGACTACAGGTAGTGATTTGAACCGAGAAAAAATTCTCTTAATTGGTTAACTGAACCTAGTTATTTCATTCAACTGACTACCAATCGGCCTTCAGAAATTCTTAGAGCATTACTCTAATTTTTGTCTTGACCTGCTTGTCTTTTATGTTCATTTATTTTCTTGTCAGAACTTTTCGAAACTTTACTCTCTCCTACGTTATTTTGACATTTCCTCCTATCATATTGATCCCACCAACCAGTTGTACCGGGTCAACCGATTAAGAATTTTCTCAACCGGTTACCCAAAATTTATTCAGTTCAGGTTAGTTAACTGATTATAGCTCAACCGATTCAAGTCACTAACTACAGGATCCCAACCTCACTATAATGAAAGTTTACTGTAACAAAAGTAAGTTGTATATAATAAAATAATTTAAATATATAGTCAACTCTCTCTAATTTGAATAGCCTGTTTTTGGGTTTTTAGTTCAGTTCTCAAAGAGGTATTATAAGCTTATCTAAACTTTATAATAAAATTTATAAGTTTTCAGTTCAAATAAGAGAGTGTTTGGTTTAGAGAGATTTAGTTAAGAGAAAGTTAACTGTATGTATAAACTATTTTTTAAATAATTGCTCTTACTGTATACTGTAATTAGTAATATACTGTATATTGAATACTATACAAAATTTTAAATATAATTCAAAAGTTTTAAAATTGTATTTAGATTAGTTGGTTATAGATTTTAATAATAATTTTAAATGATTTTGATTGGTTAATAGTTTGTCATATAACTATATAAAGTATGCCTCAAGCCAAGGTATGTCTATTGAAACATGCTGATTTTTTTATCCATGCCTTTAATTCTATATGCTATACTATCTATAGTTGAGATTGACAAGAGAGATATTATTATAAATTGTATATCTGGTTCAATTCAATCTTGAGATTGTTCTGAACTTATTACTAAAACTATTAGTAATCAGTTTCAGGATTAAATCCTAAATTACAATTTTCTGAATAAATCTATCCAACCAAATTAATACTTTATTATATAAAAAATACTGTATAATAATAAAACAATATTCAACTCTCCCTAACAATCACTTGTATCAAAATTTCAACTAATAGAAAACAAAATTTTTGTTGGAGAGATGTAGCTCTATAATGCAGTTTGTCTAAAGGTCAACTGCTTTTCTAAGGAACTCCTCTAAAAGAATATTTGGTATGCAAACCAGGAGCATTATTATACAAGATAACTGGCAAGGGCTTGCCACCCTGGTGCCCTTGTATGAAAATCTTGGTGAAAGGAGTAAGTTACATAGTAGGCTGCTACTTCATTAACAAAGCCCTAGGCTATTACTTCGAAGAAGAACACAGGAAAAACAACAAAAGTTTTAGATTTTAACATACTCTTTAGAAGTTTTAAAAATACTTGTAGCCGAAGACCTTCTACCATATTTTCACTATTTTGAAATTTTTTTTGAAGTTTTAACCAAAAAGTGGAAAAACCGGCGTATTCTCTCTAAAAGATCGGCAGTGTTTACTCTTTCCAAATTAGAATATGTCTACTGAAATAGAATCTCCTATGAGCTTATTTGGATTATGCTTTGTCAAATAAACAATAATGATGTATTAGAGGTCAGAGGAATCACATATAAAATTTTCTTAATATTAAACGTTTTCTTTTAATTTCTTTTTCAGTTCTATTTTTATATTTAGTGTTAGGTTAGATTTTATTCTATATAATATTATACAGTATAATTTATGTAGCCTCATATAAGCAAAAATAGTACTATCACAAGCATTCTTTTTTTTGGCTTTTTTCTCCTTTTCTCTTTTTTTTCTTTTGTTTGTTTTTTGTTTTTGTTTAGTTTAGATTTTTCTTCTTTTTTTAATATTTTTTTTATTTTATAAATTTCCTGTTGTTCTTTGGTAGAATTCTTTTATCTAGGAGGCTATGAGAAGAAGGTTGAGAAAGAAAGTGATCATAATAAGCTGATGAACCAGATTGGTAAACCAGGGTGGGTCAGCTTGATGTAGGTTAAACCAAGCCAAAGAGATTAAAATCATCTTTAGCAGGTGTATGAATATTTAGATATTCTATATAGATAACTGGGTAAGTTATATACCTTTATCTTTGAATGTATTTTTTTTTTTCAGATTAAATTAATGATCAATAAAGAATGGGTATGTAGTATGATAACTAAAAAAAAAAAACAATATTCAGCACAGATACTAAACCAAAAAAGCAAAAAATAACTCCAAAATATTTGTTTTTTAGATTTTATTTTATTTTTAATATTAAAAACTGTGCACTAATGAAATAGCAAATAAGTTCTGTAACTGAATTTTGTAAAATAAGTCATGATAAAAAGCAAAATAATTCAAATAAAAATAAATCAATCTTGAGTATATCTTGTACATCAGCAAAATAGTAAAATCTTTTTAATAGTATTGTTTTCAAAGAAGTTTATATAGTAAAAGAAACTTACAAAAGTTTTTTAAATTAAAAAGATAATTAATTTAGTATAAAAAAAGTTTTAGATATATGTATGCCATATTTAGAACTTTCTAATTTTTATAAGTAATTTGAATCACATTTTACTATAATCACTCTCTGGTTAACTGGTAGATTATCAATTAAGAAAAAAGCAATCTTGACAAAACTAGCAATAAGTTTTCCGTAATTCTTAGTAATTTTTAGTAATTATTTTAGGGATTATTTAGCAAGTTAGATACTAAAGATAAGTGAATTATTGCTATAGCAGATTATACTTAAGCAGCTGAATGAGTTTTTATTAAAAAATAAAAAAGTCAAAGATATTTAATTATTGTAAACTTTTTGTTCAAATACTTTGTATATCTTATTATATTTTACTTCTAGACTAATAAAGACAAAATTGCCAAATTAAAAAAAAACAAATAAAAAAATATATAGTTTATACTAAAATTTTACAAGAATTTTTTTTTTTTAAAATATTATTAATTTTTGATTATTTTCTTTATTTTGTTGTATATACAAAAAAATAATCTATATTATGAATGATAGTGAAATCAAATAATTATGAAATCTGGAAGCTTTAATTTAAAAATATAAACTCTACTAAAACCTACTTATACTCTTTTATTATAAACTCTAATCCTAAATCCTAGTTCAAATTTAAAAAATATATATAAAAAAATATACTTTAAAATTTTTAAAATTCATATAGTCAGACCTCTCTAAATGTATATCTATATAAAATCTTCCTAAAAGCATACCTTTTTTTTGGCCCAACTTAATATAACACTTATAGATTTTTATCTCTCTAAATGTATTACCTCTCTAAATACATGTTTTGAAAATTTTTACTATAGTCTCGATGATATGCACTTAGAGAGAGTTGACTGTATATTAAATAGTGTTTGATTTCATGATTATCCAATTTCACAATTATCTGTAACAATCTATATACTGCATTTAATTTTATATTTAATTGGCTTTTTTATTTAGTTTGTATAACAATATGTTTAAACACCTTGTATACAAATATAGTCAAACCTCTTTAAATATACTGTATATTATTAAAACTAGCTCTAAGATATGTATTTAGAGAGCACTAATAGAATTATAGTATATATAAGCTATATGGGGTTTTTGCCTTGAAAATCACGTTATGGAATATATAATTTACTATGTCCTATAACGTGATTTTCAAGGCAAAGACCCCATATGTTAAAATTATCTTGTATGAGATTATATAGGCTAGATACTACAGAGAAAATACAAACTTTAAAAAGCTATTTTACAAAATTTTATTAATACAACTGCTTTCATTAAGTAAAAAATAATTTTAAATTAAGTTGTGAAAAAATTTTTTTTTGAGAATTTGTTGATTTTCTTCTTTTCTGTAGAACTTTGCCCATATAATTTCATTTGATTGGCCAATAGTCACGTGATATGCACCTATAAAGAGATTTATATAGGTGGGCCAGAGAAATAGTATATATTTGCAGAATAAAGAATATGCATTTATTTATTAAGCCCATTAATAGGCCAGATAATTAATATGCATTTAAAAAGGTTATGCATTTAGGGGGAATGCATTTAGAGAGGTCTAACTGTAGTAATTGTCTAAAAAATACTATATTTTTAAACTTATTTATTATTAGATCATGTAATTATCGGGTTTGCAACCCGTTGACGTTATCTGTGATTGGTAAGAGACGACTGGCAAATGGCGCGTCGTGATGATTGCCGCGTATTTGTAGATGAGCATAAATTAAAACTCATTACTATCGCTGATCAAGTACAATATCGGTTAAACAATGGTAATTTTAATTTATTATGGTACAAAAAGTATTTAAAATTAAGATTAATAAACTCTATGCTACATTTTTCACCGGTGCTTCTGACAAACCCTGTTCTTGCGTTGTCAAAGGCTAAAGATATCACAAGAATTAAATTAATTTTGTGAAATATTATAAATTTAATTATATTTATACTCCTTACGTTAGCTCCTTCCAACTCCAGTCCTGAATTTAATAATTCCGGCGTTTCTTGTAGATATGACGGTTCTTCCTCCTCTTCTAAGTTCAACTCATCATCCAAAGCTTCTAATTCTAAATGGATTAAGTTATCAATGTCAATAAATTTCATGATGCCTTTCAATATACAGTTTTTTATTCATTAAGTACCTGCTTCCAATTCTTCTTCATCGATATCCTCGGGAAGTCCATATGTTCTACCGAGCGTTTCTTGTATTTCATTAGCTTGTTCCATCAGATCCTCCATATCGTCTTGAACACTCTATTATATTAAGATAAATTAAAAAATACCTAGATTATTGCGTATATTACTAAGGATTGTACAGATACCTCTATTTTGCTTATGTCAATTTTCTTATATTGTTTTTGCATTTCTTTATTCGCTACTTGCATTGCATCAACAGTAGAAACCACATTTCGCAAATTCTCTGTCGTAAAATTTGCCTGTTCCATATTGAAGGATTGTTGCTGAAGTTGGTCGCGTTGATTCTCATACCTGAATAATAGAGTTTTTTTATGGTGAATTCAAAAAAAAGCAAATAAACTATTTATTCTATAGGTAAATCCGTACATTTTTTTTTGTTTCAAGACTCTCAGCGCTTTGTTTTTAACAGCATTCTATTAAAATAAAATATATAATGAACAGAAAGCTATTCGAAAAGCGTGAATTAAAACACAGCAAGACATTATTTCTATCATTCATAAATGAAAGCCTTTGATCAAACTGACTTTTCCCGGCCCTTCTCTCATTTTTTTCATTTGATCTTTATATTTCGCCAATTCTCCATCAAGTTTCTTTATCTTAACCTCGACCGCAGCAACTCTGCCGTCCGTCTAAAAAAGTGTATGAAAGTTAAACCTCAAAGATATATTGGCATATATCGAAAAGTGTACCAACCGCGTTAATAGCATCGTTCAACGATGGCTTCGGTGTCTTTTTAGAGGTTCCAAAGAGACGATTCATTGATTATTAAACGTTTTGAAGTTCTCTACCTTCATGAGCATGAAAAAATTCAGTTTAATTGGCTCTCGTCTTATTAAATGTGATTGGCTTAAGGTGTCCTCAAGCAGGGACCTGTGGAATTTGTGACACAATTTAGTAAAAAAAAGTTGCAATCATTAGAAAAATGTTTTTTGTCATGTTCAAATCGCGGCTACAATATTATTTTTGTAATAACATATTTAAAAAAAATAAAATAAAACAAACCTATTATACTTTGCTAAAAAAAATACCATAATTTTATAATATTTGCTAAAAAAAACATAGCTATTTAGTATAAGCAAAGCAATTGCAATAACCTACATGCTATAGCAAATTACAAAACCTTATGTAAATAACCTGGGGATATGTCTAGTAATTAATTTTTACCAATTTGACATGATTATATGTTGAGATGTTTTTGCCCAAGTCTTTAACATGCCTCAGATGTTCTATAGAATAGATAGGCAGATTTCACAAACTTAGCAACTCCGCTAAATATTTATTAATGATTACTAATTAGTAGCAGAGTTTATTTTTTATATTGTCTATCTATACTATAAAACATCTCATGCTTCTTATTTAGCCAAATAAAAAAAAAGTTTTAATACTAAATACTATTAAAATACAAAATACTATATTCAATATTTGTAGTAATCAATTTTATACAAACTCTTTTTAACAATCACCTATACCAAATTTTTCAGCTAATGAAAAACAAAAATTTTGTTGGAAATAGTAGAAGAAGCAGACACCTTTTATACAATGGTTTGTAAGTAAAATATCTAAGATCAATCTTTTTTATTTGGAGAACTCCTTGCTTACTTTTGGCATGCAAGTCAAAAGCATTTGTATACAAGATAACTGGTAAGTTGGAGGCGCCTTTGTGTTAAAAATTTTAATGATATTTTGGTTTTTGCCTGTTGACAAAGTTGTTTTGGTGTTCTGGCTTTCTAGGTGAACAACAAATAAGTTTTTCACTACTTTCTCTAAGGACTTTGGTTATTCTGTATTCATTTTTATCCTGTTGGCATTTTTTTTACAAACTTTTTGAAAAAATCTGGGAATTTGGCTACTCCTTTTAAACAATTGATATTGTTTACCACTTCCATTTTTAGAAGTTGCCATTGCGATATAGCAAATTAGAGAAACAACAAATACATGAAAACGTGTGGCAATTTTATTATTGGATTTAATTTGTGAAAAAGTTTATAGTTAGTTTTAGGTGATTTTATTAGTATCATGTGAGATAAATATCATTCTGAAGTTATATATATACAGTCAAACCTCCCTAAATGCAACTTCTATAAATACAAGACCTCTCTAAATGCACGGTCTTGCTGTGGCTCTACTATATATATACTTATAGATTTTTACTCCTCTAAATGCAATACCTCTCTAAATGCAATATTTTTTGTAGTCTGTACGTAGTGCACTTATGGAGAGTTGACTGTAATATTTTTTTAACTTGGCATGAGTTATAATAATATTTTTGTTGGGCCTCATAAATTAGCCTTAAACATCTCAAGAACCTAATACTACTAGTGGAAGAAAACTTGAAAGAAAGAGAGAAAACAGAAATAGCTCACACAATTCTATCTGAAAGCTGGAAAACATATTTGATCAAAAATATAATAGAAAATACAAGTAAACAACAGAAGCTTATGCAGGCATCGAAAGAAAATATGGTCAGTCTCTACCATTATGAGTATTCGGGCAAAATTCCTTAAATTGAAATATCGATGTTTAATCAATTTCAATAATTAAGGTAAATTAAGATAAAAATAGAATTTTGCATATTCAGGGATAATCGGCGATTCGCTATTTCATTAAG